CTGTATCAGGTAGCTATTCTGTTCTACAAGCCATTTTCTAGGGGCAAGCACTTGGCTTCCTTTTACATGGTGGCTGGGCAATAGGTCTAAGCAGAACATTCATATGTCTGGCACCTCAGCACTTCTCTACATGACCCCTCTCTCTCTCCATATGGTTAGCTTGGGCTTCCTCACCACATGGAAGTCTCAGGATAGCCAGACTTCTTACATGGCAACTGTCTCCAAATAGGACAAAATTGGAAGCTACTGATGTCTTTAAGGTCCAGCCTTAGAAGATACACAATGTTACTTCCAATGCATTCTATATGTCAAAGCCAGTCTCAGGGTCAGTCTTTTCCAAAGAAAAAGGAAATAGGCTCTGCCCCTGGATGGAAGGTGAGGCAAAGAATGTGCATCCATCTTAACCTACTACAGTAAATCTGCTGAAGACAAAAGGGTTACGAGGTTCTTGCGTAATTAAGAAACAGAACACTATGGCGTTGCAAATCACTAAGACCCAAGTGTGGACTCATCCAGCGAGAAGAGATTCCCCCAGTTCTGAGCAATAAACCAAAAGAGACCATTACCAGATGGCATGTGGGAAATGGAATCTTTGGCAGAACTCACACCCAGGAGACGGTAGTGACGCCGATCCTGCCCCACGGCCCCCACCCACAGTGCTGGAGGAGGGCTCTTCAGCCCAGCTCCTTCCTCTGCTATGGAGCTTACTTACCCCTGGGTTCCAGCAAGGCACCTGCTTCTCCTTTTGCAGATTCCTCACTCCTTAAGTATAGTAATTCTTTCCCAAGCCTGCATTATATGGGTTTTGAGATCTTTGTGAGATCCTTTGCACTGAAATTACAAATACTGGTTCTGCAAATGTTGATATGCTTCCTCAGACTGGCAAAAGAAAAGAAGACATAGGTTGCCTCGTGAAAATAGTGAATTTACCGTGTAAAAGTTGATCATTTCTTTTCATATGGGGGCCTTGAAAAAGCTAAAATCCCTCGCCCGTCTTGGGCTCTAGAGGTCTGTGTAAATCAGCCACTCACTCAGGGAAAGACCCTGACTGCTCCCCTCACAACTACTGTGATGCCACAGGGAGTTTCTTGGTCACACCTACTCCCATCTGATTGTTGGTTCTATAGTTTCTTACAGGCTTGTCCAAGTGCTGGGCTGGCCCACACTTAATATCAAGTCATTCATTGCCTGATTCCCACTGGATTGATAAAAAAATGCTGCCACTTGGGCAGTTCCTTGCCACTTTACCTGAAATGAAGCCATCTGTGGGATACTATGCAGGCAAATGGGCCACATCATGGGCAGGAAGTTGCATCGTCTATTGTCATCTACACACAACCTTGGGCCAAGCCATGGAGGTCTACTCTGCAGAAATGTACAGACCGTGGCCTCTTTAAAGGGGGCTTAGACTTGGGGCGCCTGGGTGGCTCCGTCGGTTGAACTCATACTCTTGATTTCTGCTCAGGTCGCAATCTCACGGTGTGTGAGTTCAAGCCCCGTGTAGGGCTCTGTGCTGACAACAGAGATTCACTGTCTACCTCTCTGTTCCTTCCCTGCTTACTCTCTCTCTCAAAATAAATAAATAAACTTTAAAAAGGGGTGGGGGGGCTTAGACTTAGTGTCTGTTTGCACTCCAAACTGATCAGATAAGGGCTGACCAGCTCTTTAATATTTAAAGTTTCTTTTTCACAGTCCAGCCTGAAGCCTTGTGCCCATTCGATTTGTACTGCCACATACCTGGCTGATGCTGGTGAATTGAGACAAATATCATCTATTCAGAACTGAAAATGACTCCATTTTTCCCTATGCCTCCCTCCAACCATAAGGCAGTGCTCTAAAAGCTGGGGGTGGGACAGATGCCTGCTTCCCTGGGAGAGGAGAATTCTACCCCCCACCGCAGTCCCTTAGGCTTCTCTTGTTATATCGTCCCTAGACCATTGGGAAGGAATCAAGACATTACTTTATTCGATCAGGATCATTTATAAATAGCAGAACCACTTTCTGCTTCACTGCAGCTCATGATATTGAGATGAGTGAATTAAAGTAAACGGCTATTAGAGAAAGTAGGGGAGTGAATTTTAATGTAACGTATGGCAGACCTTCCTTCGGAATCTTTGCATATTGTAACCATTGTGTAGGCAATGGGGTAAGCACTTTGGAGCTTGTATACCTGGTCCTCGCACCTGGATACAAGGCTCTGGATGGGCCAGACCAAATGCAGGCAGATGGGGCACTGGCCTCATGTCCCTCCCCACCTCACCACCTTCTGAGCCTGAAGTTAGCAGGTTTCCTGCTGAGTCCTGAGTTTCATCTGTGGCTCCAGAGAAAGAAAGTGCCCCCTTCTGCAGAGAAATGTGTTGTCTCTGATAGAAGAGGCCCTTTCACCAGGTGCCAGGGTGTCTGGAAAAAGTCTAGGAAAAAAGAGGAAAGAGGTGTGTGTGTGTGTGTGTGTGTGTGTGTGTGAGAGAGAGAGAGAGAGAGAGAGACAGAGAGAGAGACAGAGAGAGAGAGAGAGAGAGACAGAGAGAGACAGAGAGACAGAGATAGAAACAGAAACAGAGACAGAGATTGGAAGGGACGGAGGGATTGAGAAAGAACATGAACTCAGTCCTGGGCTTTCTTACAGTGTTGGCTCTCTGCCCTCACTGAGCTGGGTCAGTACATCCTGCTGAGAACATGCCCTCCCTTCCCTCAGAAACCTAAAAGGACACTTTGACTTCATTCACCGGTCTGATTTGGACATTGCAACAAATACGTTTATCCCAGCTTTCTGTTTGGCCTTTTGTGACACCCTTGAGGGGGTAGCTGCGTCTTTTCGTTCTCACACACACCCCCGCCTCCTGCATTAAGGTTGGATTCTCTTGCTTAACGCAGAGAGCCTCTGCCGTGAGGACCTAAATACTAAGGTGTAGCATCAGAGTGAGGGAAAGAAACGAGTGGGAAGAAAATTCACTCAAAAGGACTTTGCGTATGCAGATGGGGCTATTTTTTTTAAACTTTATTTTGAATTCGTTTCAGGCTACGGAAAAGCACAAAGTTTTTGTTTTTTTTTTTTGTTTTTTTTTTTTGTTTTTTTTTTTTCAGAAAACTACAAAAAGTGCAAAGAATTCCTGTATACTCTTCATCTCATTTGCTTATCATTTTCTCTCTTTATATACTTTTTTCTGAACTAGCTGCAAATAACTTGAAGATATGATGCCCCTTTATCCCTAAATACTTAAGCATGCATTTCTAAAAAAAAAAAAAAAAAAGAAGAAGAAGACATTTTCTTTCCTGACCCCAATACATTATCAAAATCAGGAAAATAATATTGATGTAATACTATTATCTAAACTACGTATCTTTTTCAAATGTCGTCAGTTCTTCTCACAATGTTCTTTATAGCAAAAGAGAAAATTGTTTTGCTCCAGGAGCCAATCCAAGATTGCCCATTGTCATGTCTCTTTAGGTTCCTTCAGTTAGGATACTTCCTCAGTCTTTGTCATTCGCGATGCTGATATTTTGAAGAATCTAAGCCATTTATTGAATAGATTGTCCCTCATTTGGAGACTGTCTGATGCTTCCTCACAATAAGATTTGGGTTGTACATGTTTGGCAGGAATACCACAGAGGTGATGTTATGTCCTCCTTAGCACGTCACATCAGGAGATACAGGATATTGATCTGTCCCCTTGTGATGTTAACTTTGATACCTGATTCGGGCGGGGTCTGCCAACCCTCTCCACTCTCAAGCTATTATTTTTCCCTTTGAAATCAACAAGCATTTTATAAGGAGACACTTTGAGATTGTATAAATATACTGTTTCTCATCAAACTTTGACCCTCTATACATCCATTGCCAGTTCTTGCCTGAATCAATTATTGCTACGAAAGTTGCCAAATGAGAATTTTCTAACACTGTTTTTTCGTCCATGCTTAGTAGTTGAAATTTTACCATACGAAAGGGCTTTTTCTTTTCCACCATTTATGTATTCATTTACATCAGTATGGACGTATATTTCTTATTTTATTCCGTAGATTTTAAACCACTACTATGTTTTTTTTCAAAGTTCAAATGGTCCCAGATTTGGCCAGTGGGAGCTCCTTCCAGCTGTCTCCTTTTGTCCTTGTGACATGTCCAGGCAGGGCTGTTTTTGAGGGCAGATGCTCCAGAACTCTGGCCCAGAATATTTCTCTAAATTGTGGAAGTTTAAGTCACACACAAGAATGTCATTTTTTAATATTATGATAAAACACACAGTATATGCCAGTGACATTTAGAGTTCCAATGGAGTAACAAAAGGCTTATGAACATACATTTCATTGTCTTTCTATACACCAGACTCATTTTGTAAGTCAAGGCTTGACTCCTTCTCCCACCTCCTGGTCTCAAGGTGAGGCCAGTCCACTTCACAATAAACCCACTAAGGAAATAGAGGACAGAGAAGAGTCAGGGAGGTGGAGAGAAACAGGAAAGGAAAGGAAAGGAGAGGAGAGGAGAGGAGAGGAGAGGAGAGGAGAGGAGAGGAGAGGAGAGAGAAAAGCCTCTTTTCTCGTCATCCTTGAGAGTGGTGTGGCACCTGCAACTTCCTCATGTCCCCCTTGCACACTGACCCCTCTAGGGAGCAACCCTCTGCTGTCACAGGCGTTAGTGTGGACAGAATGCAGGACATTTCGTCAGAGGTTAGAACAGTCACCTTCATCTCAGAAAACAGCCTGGGAGAAAACACGGGCTGTGTGGAAGGAACTGAGGTCTCCTCACCACAGCAACACCCCTGGAAGGGATGGAAAGAAAGGAGAGAAAACCCTGGGTTTGTGATGTCCCCTCCCTCTCCTCACTGGGTCTCGCACCACAGGCTGGAGGAGCTTCCGGCAGAATTGAGTGCTGGGGAAAGCCTGTGATAAATCAGCTCTGTCTTCACTAGCCAGGGGGTTGCTATGGCAATAGGAATACACTGTGGGTTTTAAGAGATGTAATTTTCTGTGATTCACTGTATATTTTTAGCCATTTTTCTTCCTGTATTGTCTCCCTGTGGCAATTGCCTATTAATGCTGGCCTGCACCAAGATTGGACTAAACGGTCCATTCTCAGAAGTGATGAAAGCCCTGGAGATCAGTAAGTACAGGAGGGTTATGGCCCGTGGATTTAAGGGTAACCTGGGGAAACAACCGGCTTGGTCAGGACACGGATTAATTAGCTTGGGCCATGCCGCATCTAAGGAAGAGTAAAGGAGAATGAAAAGCCCCAGAAATATGGTACCGGGTTGCTTGGAATGGGAAACTGAGTCACGCTCCTCACTGCAGTCAGGGTGCTCACACGGTGTCAGGGGCAGTTCCCTAGCAGCAGAAAACCCCCTGAGCGAGGGAAACTAGGACCCAGGTTTCTGAGCAAGGAACTCTAAAAGCATACTGACCTCCTGTTGATTTTCATTCTTTCCTTTTCTTTCATCCCTTCTGCTTTCCTTCCTTCCTTCAATTTTCTCATCTTTTTGCCTTAAAATTTGGTGGAGGGACCGAGCGGAGGTGAACATTCAGTCAGTCCACTTGGCTCTTTGTGAATAGTTGTCTCAGGAGCCTCTCCATCTGGAGCAGCAGAAAACCCAACCTAAACTGTTAAGCACAAAGAGAACTTACTTTCTCTCATAACTGAAAAGTCCAAGGGCTGGTCTCAGGCACAGCTGTTCACGGGGGCCAGTGACATCATCAACATCTGGGCTCTGTGTCACACCAAGTTCTACTGACGTCTTGGCATTTGGGCTGTCATAACATAAAACTCAGCTAATGGAGGCTTCCGTGAAGTGCGGTTTATTTTTCTCACGTAAGAAGTCCAGGGAGAGGGGTTTTTTCCCCCGCATATAACAGGTAGCCCAGGATAGCCACCCATGACATTACTATGCAGCAGCTCATTAATCTTACCAAGAACCCAACCTCTTTCTTCATTTCAATTCCACCATCGTTAAGGTCACAGGAGGACTGCTCTGGCTGCAGGCATTCAAGGCAGAAAGAAGTAGCTGTATCTGATTCTTTTATCTAGAAAAGCAAATCTTTCCCCAGAGCCCCCAGTCGATCTCTGCTTCCAGCTGATTTGACACATCAGTACCACCAGAAGGCTAGGAAAGCATCTTTTTAGTTTTTCCTGGCCCCTAGAGTAGAGGCCATTTTTTGTTTGTTTGTACGTCAAAGAGAAGCCATACCCAGGAATGTGGGATGGGTCAGCCCCTTCACCAAAGGGTCTGCTTTGTTACTCCATTGTTGTCCTTTCCCAGCTGGGAGGGGAGAATAGAAGAGCAGGGCAAGAAGCTTCCTTCTAAGGCTGTGATACAGAAGTTTCGCTCATCATCTCTTCTGCTCCCGTCCCATTGGCCAGAGTCTAGTTACGTGGTCACAACCAGCTGCAAGGGAACCTGGGAAATGTACAGTTTGCACAGCCATGTGCCCAGCCAAAACTTGGGGAGTTCTGTTACTAAAATGAATAAGGGGAGGAGTATGGCAGGACAATTAGCAACCTCCTCCAGCACAGTTATTAGAGAAAGGATGTGAATGGGTGTTGGGTTAGCCAGCCAACCTCTTCTGCATCGGCCTCATTCTCAGAGAGGCTTACCTTTGTGGAGATTAAGACAACTTCAGCAAACCAGCCTCACACCCTCCAAATCCCTTAGTGAAAGAGCCCGACGTCTTTGCAGTTGCCCCAGTCAGTCTCATTACATCTGATTGGATCTTCTGCCCATCCTTGACCCCTGGGGATGCAATGCAATGCTCTGATCTGTCATACCTGAGTCACTTGCTCCACCAAATCACAAGACCTTTCTGAGCCTCAGTTTGCTCATCTGTACAACAGGCATATAACAATAGAAGCTACCTCACAGGGTCGGTGGGAGAGTGCCTCCAGTGGCCATTGTCCATAAATGCATCCTCCCTTGACCCTGTGACCAGACTCACCTTAAGAATGTCATTTTAGAAGATATAACTGCTACAAAGCAAAAGAAAGCAAATGCTGTTGGGTGGCTGGCCTGCATTTCATCTCCTAGTACGTCCCAAAGTAAAAATATCTATCTAGCACTTGCGAGGTGTTCAGCACTGTGTTGAGCACTTTCCTAAATTCCATCATAATCCTCAGAGTAGCTCCATGGGAGAGACACTTTCACTATTTTCACTGAACAGGTGAAGAAGTTCCGGTCCTTGCCCTGAGGTCACAGCGCAGTGATGGAGCCACAAACCTAGGACTAACTGAAACCCCATGCTCTGCTCCCTCTTCTTGTGTAGAAACATGTAATATCACACATTTATGGAATCGCAGGAATCTGGCCGGCTGTGGCAGTCATGAGAGAGCACAGCTTAGGTCTCCCTTGGAGAGAGGACGTGCTACAAGGGTGTGGTGAGCTAACAACCGCCAGCAACATGGTGCCTTGGGGATCCCACCGAGGCCTTGCTCTCCCCGAGCACAGCAGCAGTCCAAGAGCCCAGCCAGGCCTGCCCAGTGGGGACTCCTCGGCTCTTGGGCTTCCCAGCTGCCTGGCCATAACTTTCTTGGAGCTGTGCTTTCTTCCTACCCAAGCCTCTTTCATGTCCTCTCTCCTCTGGTGAGTATGAGGCCTGCATGGCTGCCTGAAGGCTCTCTTTACCTAGCCCTCCTCCCTCACCCTTCAGCCTTCTCAGGTGTTCTTCCAGGTACGTGTATTACATACGTACTTTCACCTCAGCATCTCTTTCTCAAAGGACCTGAAATGACACACTTCTTGTACCCACCTTGACTCACCGCGTGGGCTACGCCGCAGGTATGTATGTTTCCGAAGGTTCTTGAATGTTTAAGAACAAATGAGCAAGGAAAACACTAACTCCGATTGTGGGGGTGGGGAGATCTAATGTAGACCAATTAGGAGGCTTCTGGCCTGGCACTTAGAGAGCGGGGTCTCCTTCTCTACACAAGACTCCAAATAGACGGGAGAACGGCACTGCTGGTCTTACAGGAGTGGGAACCCAGTTGCATAGTGTGTTGGAGGGAGAGCGAGTAGGAAGGGTCTGAGACTGGTCTGGAGTCACATGACAGGGTTGCAGATAGATTCCAGTCATTCTAATCCTCCATCCAGAAGCATCCAATGCTACTTACACAAGGAATTGATTCTTTACAGAAAGAGCAAAGGCAGCTACTTAACTCAGCTGAAGGGAGAAAATGATCAATTGAGCAAAATACACTGGCTTTAGACAAGGATCTCCAAACTGAAGTGGGATTACCCTTGCTGCTCCTGGGAACACTGCCCTTGGGCCACAACAACCTGTCCCACCCCCAGAATGGTGTAGGCTGAGTACTTTTTGTAAATTGTATGCAGTGATTGCTATCTGGTGGCCACAGAGCCGGATACAGCCTACAAACATGTTTGCTTTAGTCCCCAGAGTGTTTTTTTATAAAACTTAAAATTCGTTGACAAGATTTATCGATTGGAATATTTTACATAAAAATCTGGAGGCCATGGGGCGCCTGGGTGGCTCAGTCAGTTAAGCATCCAACTTCGTCTCCGGTCATGATCTTGCGGTTCGTGAGTTCGAGCCCCGCGTGGGGCTCTGTGCTGACCTCTCAGAGCCTGGAGCCTGCTTCAGATTCTGTGTCTCCCTCTCTCTCTGGCCCTTCCCCTCTTGAGCTCTGTCTCTCTCTCTCTCAAAAGTAAATAAACATTAAAAAAAAATTTTTTTTTTTAAATCTGGAGGCCTTGCTTTTCCTGAAAAGTCAGCAAATTTAATCATACTCTGCCTGCACGTCCACTTCCTGCTTCAGACAGGATCCGAATCCCCACCGCTCCTATCTTATCACACCTGAAGTCATTTGAGTTCATAAAGCCAGGCTTAAACTCCCCAGGACAGCCAACCTCCCTGATTTTGAGCCCTCGGATTCAAATCATCAGCCCTGGAGAGGATGGGCTGCAGGTAACTGTAAGCTCTTTAAGAAAAGTGAGTTACTGGAGCACCTGGGTGGCTCAGTCGGTTGAACGTCAGAATTCAGCTCAGGTCATGATCTCCCGGTTTGTTTGAGCCCCACGTTGGCTCTCCTCTGTCAGCTCAGAGCCCACTTCTGATCCTCTGTCCCCCTCTCTCTGCCCCTCTCCCGCTTGCACTCTTCCAAAAATAAATACATCCTTTTTAAAAAAAAGTGAGTTACTAAGCAAAGTAATAGCATAAATAGGATTTCAAGATGGAATCCTTTAAAAAGTGGTTTTTAAAGCACTAACAGGAAGGAAGAGCATTATTAGCACAGGAGGTTTGTCAGCAGTGACAGCTGGGCACGGGTAGCGGCCAGAGGCAGAGACCCTGGGTTGAGAAAGATGGGCCTTCTGTCCTGGCTTTGCCCTTACTGGTGAGATGACCTTGAATGTTTCCTTCCTGTTCAGATCAGGTGCCTGGTGTTGTGACAAGAACCATAAGAGCTAACAGCTGCAGAGTGCTTATTACCTACAAAGCAGCCTGTTAAGTGCTTCGTGTGCATCCCTTCATTTCATACCAAGCCCGGAGGTCAAGTACTGGTGTTATCACCAGAGCACAGGAAGGTTTTGTGACCTGTCCTAAGTCAGAGAGTCAGGAATTGCGGAAGCCAGGATCTGAAGCCCAGAAGCGCTGACTCCAGAGCACACATGTGTATTTATCTTCCACCTGCCTGGCAGGATCCTCTTGAGAATTACACAAGGTGATGTCGGCCAAGTGCTTTTTGTAAATTGTAAAGTGGCCCAGCAATGTTCACTGTGATCACTTGAACACTACAGTTTTTCCCCCAAATTGGTGCTTTGTCTAAAAATCACAAATTTAATTTTTTAATTCATTCAAATTCATGGATTTTGAGTCTTTGAAAGAGAGCGTAGAAGGAAATTGGGGCTCAAGACACATCATTAGTCCTGCAGCGCCCCCTGCTGACAAGAGTCATGAAAACTATGCAATTCTAACTGCAGGTGACATTGACCGCTCTGACCCCTTGAACAAGTATTTCTGGAGCACCTTACTTTGTCCTGGGCATTGCACTAGCTGTCACATGGTCTAGAGTATAGGAATGGAGGACAGGGAAGGTCCTTTTCCAGCCAAGCCTGGATTTAGATATAAGAAGATATAAGCTGATATAAGGCTTAGTTAGATACGAGCCTCTGTGACTTAAATATAGGAAAAGAAAAGCAGAGAAACCACAGGCAAAGGTGACCCCACTTCCCATCATGACATCACGGAAAGGAGACCAAAGCCAGGTGCTGTTGTCATCTCTCCTTTGAAAGAGCACAGGATACCCCAAATCATGAGGTCATGGTACTCCCGTTCATGGGCATGTGTGTAAATGTTTAACAACCAGCTCTCTGACACAGGGAAGCCATGGTCTGTAGTGTTTGCCAATTTCCATGGTGTAAATACTCCCACTATGACCAATTTCAAGCTACCAACATGATGATTCACAAGGTTCTTGAAAATTTAACAACTGGCCTTGCACGAACTGGTAGGAGCTGGCTCCAACATACCACTTCTTTTATGTCTAGAGAAAATACACCCTCTCATCTTCCTTCCCAACCAACTAGACCCCAGAATTCTTCCAGCTGGTGCACATCAATGAGCAGGGACAGATCAGCCTTCCCCCCCCCCCCCCCAGCAAGGCTGGCCCCAAACAGAGAATGAGGGGTGCCAGCCAAGGTCCCCTCAACATCTACAGGTGGCTCCAGCCAGAAGTCCATTTCTCCTTCCATTCCATCCCTCCCCCTTTCCAGGCCTTCTCATTTCTTTTTTTTTTTCTCTATAATTTATTTTATATATAACAACTTTAAAATATTTATTAAGTATATAATCAGTTCAAGTCACTTCAGGGTAACAAAATGAATCAGACCTGTCAGGACTCCTACCTTCGAGGTAACAGTAGTCTGGTAGATGGATAAATGTCTACAGATTATTCAAATGCAAGATAAAAAGTGATACATGAGTCACAACTAACAACATAAGATTTAAAAAGTGTGGTTACTAAATGCAATGTAGTATCCTGGATTGGATCCTGAGACAGAAAAGGATGTCAGTGGAAAAACCAGTGGACTCTGAATCAAGTCTGTAATTTAGTCAATAGTATTCTACCTTTGTTAATTTCTTAGTTTGGACAAATGTGCCACCGTTATTTAAGAGTTAATCTTCAGGGACACTGAGTGAGAGGCATGCAGGCATTCTCTGTAATGTCTTTGCAACTTTGTTGAAAACTGAAAATCATTTGCTTAAGAACTTGATTACAGAGTGCAGACATTTAGATAAGAAAGACCCGGGCGGAGGATGGCTATAAGGGAAAACATCACGGAGCAAGCATAATTTGTATTGAGTGGATACAAAATTAACACACAAAACCAAAGAGGAGGTATATTTTAAGCAGAGTGAAAACACTTACAAAGGAAAAGAGGTATAGTTCTGACTAACTGGAAAATACCAAACAGCAATAGCTCTTCCACAAAATGGTTCTAAGTATAGTTTAGATCCATTTCCCTGTTAGTAATTGGGGGACCAATTACTACATCTAGGTTTTGCACCATGTCCCAAATTTCTTGTCTATCACTCAACCCAGTTCTCGCAGAGACTCAGGCTTTCTCATTTCTAATCAACCAAAGAAAGAGGGACTGCCCTGAACATCATGACCAGCCCTGAAAGAGAACATCCTTCTGACATCACCTTCCTGTCTTCGCCTCCAAATTCCCTCCCCAGAGACTGGATTCGCCTCAGCCCAGAAGCTCCCACCCCAGCAGAGGGCACCTCCTGGCTCCTGGCCGAGCCCTGGATTTTCTGGTGTGAGGAGGGTGGCCTACCCTGGACTACAAGCCACTCACTTTATTATTTTTTTTTTTTTAACGTTTACTTTTATTTTTGAGAGAGAGAGAGCGTGCGCGCGAGCAGGGAGAGAGAGAGAGGGAGATACAGAAACTGAAGCAGGCTCCAGGCTCTGGGTTGTCAGCACAGAGCCTGACGGGGGGCTCGAACCCACAGACCATGAGATCATCAGCTGAGCCCAAGTTGGATGCTTAACTGACCGAGCCACCCAGGCGCCCCTGCCACTCACTTTATATAAAGCCCAAGAAAGAAGGCCTGTCTTGGGCCCAGGAAAGGAGGAGGAATGCATGGGTCCACGCATGGCCTCAGGGAGCAGCTCTCAAATGTCCCCAGCTAGAGAGGTAAGCCCAGCTAGCTGCCAGGAGCCCCAGAGGACCCAGCTGCTGAGGGCGTGCTTTCTTCTCCTCCTCCTTCTCCTCCTCCTTCTCCTCTTCCTCCTCCTTCTTCTTTTTAATGTTTGTTTTTGAGGGGGGAGTGGCAGAGAGAGAGAATCTCAAGCAGGCTCCACACTGTCAGCACAGAGCCCAGTGCGGGACTTGAACTCACAAACCTTGAGATCATGACCCGAGCTGAAAAGAGTTGGACGCTTAACCGATTGAACCACCCAGGCACCCCTTAAGGCATGCTTTCTACTCATCCCAGAAATAATCCTGGAGCCCACCACATAAACCCCAAAATCTCATGACCCCAGCTATCTGAACACGAGCCCCATACCTCCACCTCCCATGAGATTAGCTGTTCCCCTTCCTTTCTCCCCCAACCTGCCCTCAATTTCTGCCTGCAGCCTCAGTCCGCCCATTCCAAGACCCTAGCATCTGAGCAGACAATAAAACCAAAGGAAGAAGACTGGCTTCCATTCTGACTCGGCCACTTGGAGTTGTATGCCCTTGAGAATGTTTCTAAACCTCTTGAGGCTTGTGTTCTAAAGCCTAAACGGAAATAGTCATCAGTGCTGTCGAGAGAACGAAATTAAAATGTGTGCGAAAAAGACTTCATAAATCAGAATGTTAGATAAATGGCTATTTTCCTGCTGGAAAGAGGTATTTACTCTGTTTTTTCTCATTTTAAAAAGAACACGAGGGGCGCCTGGGTGGCGCAGTCGGTTAAGCGTCCGACTTCAGCCAGGTCACAATCTCGCGGTCCGTGAGTTCGAGCCCGGCGTCGGGCTCTGGGCTGATGGCTCAGAGCCTGGAGCCTGTTTCCGATTCTGTGTCTCCCTCTCTCTCTGCCCCTCCCCCGTTCATGCTCTGTCTCTCTCTGTCCCCAAAATAAAAATAAACGTTGAAAAAAAAAAAAAAAGAACACGAATTCTTTGTGGACGGCTTGAAAAATACATTTGAATAAAAAAAAAATAAGTAAGAATCACTCAGAGTTCACCACTATGCACATTTGGTATTTTCCCTAGGTCTCCTTTTCCTATCTGTATAGCTATGCCTTGGTTACCAGAGAGGGTGGGCGCACTTATGGCTCAGGGCAGTGTCCTCCTCTCTAACCTACCCTCAGACCTGCTACAGTGTCTCTCTCCATCCTGGCCACAGGAAAGAAGGCAGACTTAGTCTCTCACTAGAAACAAGGCAGAGGGGCCTGTTAGCTCCCCAAATGAGGAGATCTTAGAATAGAACCTGTTCTTCCTGATAGAGACCTTCAAACTTTGTACTCTGCAAACCAGTTTGGAAAGATTATACGCACTTATGGATCACCTTGTTTGCCTGGCCTCCTTTACAAAATAAATTTTTAAAAGTTAAAAGGCAGGGGGTGCCTGGCTGACTCAGTTGAGTCTATCTTTGTGCATGGTGTAAGAAAGTGGTCCAGGTTCATTCTTCTGCATGTCGCTGTCCAGTTTTCCCAACACCACTTGCTGAAGAGACTGTCTTCATTCCATTGGATAGTCTCTCCTGATTTGTCAAAGAGTAGTTGGCCATACATTTGTGGGTCCATTTCTGGGTTCTCTATTCTGTTCCATTGATCTGAGTGTCTGTTCTTGTCCCAGTCCCATACTCTCTCGATGATTACAGCTTTGTAGTATAGCTTGAAGTCCAGAACTGGTTTTCTTTTTCTGGATTGCTTTGGCTATTCAGGGTCTTTTGGGGTTCCATACAAACTTTAGGATTGTTTGTTCTATCCCTGTGAAGAATGCTGGTGTTATTTTAATAGGGTAAAATAGAATGGTTTTTAAATAAAAGTGATTTGAGATGAAATAGTAAACATCTGTGCTGATAGCTCAGAGCCTGGACCCTGCTTTGGATTCTGTGTCTCCCTCTCTGTGTCGCTCCACTGCACGTGGTTTGTCTCTCTTTGTCCCTCAAAAATAAGTAAATGTTAAAAAAAATTTTTTTTAAGTTAAAGGAGGGAAGCTTTTGGCTTAGTAAGGCATCCACTGCTACAGCCGTATTATTAAACCGCTTGTGTTCAGGCCCTTTACAACGTGGAACTGCATTTGCTGTAGGAAATACTTTTGAAAACCTCACACATCTTTCGGTGGCTGGCCCATGAATCACCAGAGGAACCCATGTAGAACAAGAATGCAAATTTGCTCCTCTGGGCTCTCTCGGTATCTGACAAAATGTCATCTTTCCATCCACGTTACCGAGATTACCTCTCGCTTCTGCCCTAAAACAGGTGTTTCTTGGCTGTCAGAAACTGTCTGGGTCTCCTCTCGTCTGCAGTGACGGTGGCAGGCAGCTGGCGCCTCCTGCCTGAGCCCACCTCACCCTCACTTCTTCAGTGTTCCAGCCCAACCTAGAGACTCAGGTCTCTGAATCCCTGGGCAGGGGCAGATGCTCACGGGACTTAAAGTGCATTGTTAGGAGAATGTGTCCTAGGAGCCGAGTCCCAAAAGTCACTTCTGACTAGGTGCTAGCTTGTGGCTAAATATTTCCACTCCTGATGTTTCAGGCTAGATGGTGATGAAAACCAAGGGTGAGCCTTCTTCCCTTAACTGCGTATGACAAACAGGGGCACCTGGGTGGCTCGGTCGGTGAAGCTTCTGACTTTGGTTTAGGTCATCTTGCAGTTCATGAGTTCAAGCTCAGAGCCTGGAGCCTGCTTCGGATTCTGTATCTCTCTCTCCATGACCCCCCCCCCAGTCCCGTCCCCCCATTCACACTTTGTCTGTCTCTCAAAAATAAATAAACATTAAAAGACAAATTTTGGGGGGAGGGGGGCGCCTGGGTGGCGCAGTCGGTTAAGCGTCCGACTTCAGCCAGGTCACGATCTCGTGGTCCGTGAGTTCGAGCCCCGCGTCGGGCTCTGGGCTGATGGCTCAGAGCCTGGAGCCTGTTTCCGATTCTGTGTCTCCCTCTCTCTCTGCCCCTCCCCCGTTCATGCTCTGTCTCTCTCTGTCCCAAAAATAAATAAACGTTGAAAAAAAAATTTTTTTTAAAAAAGACAATTTTTTTTTTAATTCAAAAAAATGCGTACAAGTGCAGCAGCTTCTCACCACTTCTCTCCAGATGCACTTAAGTGCAAGGGGCAGAGAGGGACACCCATTCCGTTGGTCTTCTCGCTGCGCAAGAGAAAGGTCTCAGTGACTCCTGTCTCCTAAAGGAGGGTTCAGCCCCACCCAGAGGACAAGTCCAGTCGTATTCCTTGAGAGTCCGTCATGTGTGTGGGAGGTCACTAGTGTCCACAGTAGAAAATCTGGGCTTTGGACCCAGGCTGACTTCAGCTTGAATCCCAGCTCCATCACTCCCCTGGAACTTTGGCCTCCGGCAAGTGCCTCTACCTTGAGCTTGAGGAGGGGGCTGTGTGTTCCGAGGACATTTGTAAAAGAAAGCTTTGCAGGTGCTTAGGGAATGGTACTGAGAGACCAGGAGCTCCTGAAGCAGGGCCACACTCAAGAAAGCTGCAGCAACGACAATCAGCTGGGCTTGGCAGAGATGGTTCTCGTTGGTCTCCTACCCCCCTCGGAGGCCCTCTCTTCTCTAAACTTCCATGGTCCTGCAGCGGCCCTTCCAAACTCAGCGCCCACCAGCCAGGACCTCCCTTCCCTCAGCGTAAGCTAGGCTTCCAAGTGGCTAATCCCGAGGCCTTTTCCCATCTCTTGACCAGGATCCCCTCATCGAATCTTCCATCTAGGTGAGGTGTTGGGCCATCTCCGGCTTTTGACGAAGCACATCACCTTCTTGTGATATCGTCTTTCTCTGTAGGCTCATGTCCCAGCACCCAAGAACAGCATTCTCCGATTCCAGTCCAGGGCTCCAGAACCTACTTCAAAATGGGACAGGATCCCTCCAGCTCCCCCACCATAACCATGCACACAGCCCTCCTCTTCCAGGGGCAGAAGTCAATGTAGACACAGAAAACCAATCCAAGGACAGAGACCACCGGGATAATTTAATTCTGTTTTTCAGCGGTCACCACCAGAACCCAGGATGTCCAGCTCATCCCTTATCTCCAATTCTCTTCTTTGTACAGCTCAGATGTCACCTATCAGTGAGGCTACCCCTGGAAAAGTACAGCCTCCCCACCATTTCCTCCTACCCCCGCCCCGCCACACCCTATTGAATGCAGTCTACTTTTCCGCCAAGAAAAGTTTCAGAAAAGCACTTCTTCTCCCAAATTCTCTTGAGATGTGACTCAGACAATGTCACCCTGCCAACTTCTTGGAGTCCTTCCTTCAGGAAACCAGACTTCCGGCCCCTCCCCCAGTTCTGGGAGCCAAGGAGCTCTGTTGGGTCAGTAGGATCATTGTGGGAAGCAGCCATCATCACATCCCTCATGTGGGGGCCAGCACAGCAGTTAGGACAAGGCAATTGTCAAAGATCCCCATCAGCCAAATTCGGAGCCCCTTGGACGCGTGGAATAGTAATGAGGTATAAACCTCTGCTTGTTCCCCCAGTCTCCAGCCCAGGTTGCAGAGGACCCACAGACATGCCGAACAGGAAAGCTGCAGAACAAGGGAAGCAGCTTCTGATTGGGAAAGTGAAAGGCACCACAAGCCAAAAAGCTCCAATTACTTGTAGGGGCTGGCCTGGGAGGCCACAGCCAACTGCTTTCAGCTGGGAGACATTGGAGAGCGTGTGGAGACATGGAAAGTGAAATCAGACCCTTCTGTTCCTCTGGCCTCCCACGCTGTTGGCTGCTGCTCATTCAGTCACCCACCCCAAGGAGGAAGTCACCTGCTGCCCCCGCCACAAACACTTCCTAGACCCAGGGATCACAGAGTAAGACCAGCACTTCTTCCAGGCCTGCTCACCTGCTGCTGGGAAGGGGCCTCACCTACCTCTTTGGCCCCTTTTCCCTGGTGCCACCAGATCCCCAGGCTGAAAGCTTCAAGCCCAGTAGGCACCCGGGCACTGTGGTGGACATTGCCAGGCTGCTGATGGAGCAGGAAGAGGCAGGGTCCTTGCTCTTCAAGGTCCATCAGAAGCACCTGGAGGACATAAAGCTGTTGGCAAGCACCAGGAGGCCCACACTCTGCAAGGTTTGCCCAGCCAGCTGAGCAGAGTGAGGGTCCCCATTCACATGGGTCAGCACACGTTTGGGGGAAAGGGATGGACTAGGGCGTCTAAGCTGGAGATAGGTAGAGATAGGGGAGGGAAAGGAGGGAAAGAGGAGGAAGAATGGAGGGGGAAGGAAAGGGACTCTCGAAGGCAATGCCCAGTGTTAGTGGAGTGGAATACTTTCCAGCATAAGCCACCAGAGAGCTGCCCATCATGTTCACAGAGTTATCATTAAAAGCTTTACAGGAGGGGCGCCTGGGTGGCTCAGTCGGTTAAGCATCCGACTTCGGCTCAGGTCATGATCTTGCGGTCCATGAGCTCGAGCCCCGCGTCAGGCTCTGTGCTGACAGCTCAGAGCCTGGAGCCTGTTTCAGATTCTGTGTCTCCCTCTCTCTCTGATCCTCCCCCGTTCATGCTCTGTCTCTCTCTGCCTCAAAAATAAATAACCGTTAAAAAAAAAATTTGTTTTAATAAAAAAAAAAAAAGCTTTACAGGAGAAAGTCATTTTTCAGGTGGCCTAGTGGCTGAGGGATCCAGAGTCTGTAATACGTAGATTCTGATCTGTGCTCTGTATCTTCCCCTAGGAGTCACCTTAGATAAATGTCTTACCTTCTATAAACCTCCATTTCCTCATCGGTAAAATGATGACAGTAGTTCCTACCTCTGAGCGTTGTCGTAAGGATTAAGTAAAGAAACATAAAACCCTTAGCACCTTGCCTGCCACACAGTAAAGTCTCAATAATTACTCCCCTTTTAATTTATTGCCATTGTCATTAGCGGTGGCTAAGCATCTGCCTTAATAGAGCCTCACTTCCCACGGCCAGCCTTTATGAAAGATGCGTGTCCAGCCCTAAAACAACCAGATCTAGAAAACCAAATTCAAAAACTGCTAATGGTGGTGTACTAATGGTTCCATTTACAGGGTTCAGTGGACACTTCTTGATCTAGGAAGTGTGTAGCCAGACCCACGGCCAACATGCTCCATTGTGACAAAAGCAGACAATTTGATTTCCCTATTTCTTCGTTCTTTCTTTTTTTCCTCATGGTAAATTTTCTCTGCTTTCCTCCCAGATGGGATCTGCAAGGGCTGGAGAATCTTACTGAAAGCGTGGGGAAAGCATGGACACAACATGGCCGGCCCCCCCGGGCCTGCTCATGGCTGTACCTGGGGCTATAAGCCTTCCTGCGCCTCCCCGAAATATGCACAGAAGTCATGAAAATGCCACAACACATTTCATGCCTCGGGGCTGAACTGTGGGGTCTGGAGGTGGGCCCAGCCCTGGCCCCTTGAAGCCCTGCCTTTGAGCTCAGTGTTCGCAAGGCGACCTTCACATCTCCCAACTGGGAGAGGATTGTAGTGTCTCAAGCTCTACAGTTGGGATGCAGCAAAAAAGGAGCCCCGAGCTCTGTGGCATGAGTTCTGAGGTGCTGCAAGGACTGCTCCCCAAATCTCCCCTCCACACCCTTGTCCTGACGCCCAAAATTTAGACCAAAAAGGTCACTCTTCGGGTTACAGGGCTGACAAGTGGGTTTCACTGTAAGCGCCAACTCCAAACAATTGAGAGTAGAATTTTTTCCAGAAAGGTTCTGAGACCTTTTCTGGGCTTAGCAGTAGGATGTTTGTGATCAGTTAGCACTGTCTTTCGTGGGCACTGGAAAAGAAGAGCCAGGGCTTTTGCTACAGAATTGTTATCCTTAAAATTTTTTTTTCGACATTTATAGTTTCAGCTCTATAGCCGGGATAGAACACACAGGAACTTGTTATGACTAACAGCCATTATCAGCAGGGCCCTAAGGGCATAAGAGTCAGGACAGGGAATTTTCTTTTTTTTATTAAAAAAATTTTTTTTAACATGTATTCATTTTTCTTTTAATTTTTTTTTTCAACATTTATTTATTTTGGGGACAGAGAGAGATAGAGCATGAACGGGGGAGGGGCGGAGAGAGAGGGAGGCACAGAATCGGAAACAGGCTCCAGGCTCTGAGCCATCAGCCCGGAGCCCGACGCGGGGCTCGAACTCACAGACCCCGAGATCGTGACCTGGCTGAAGTCGGACGCTTAACCGACTGCGCCACCCAGGCGCCCCAACATGTATTCATTTTTGAGAGAGCGAGGCAGTGTGTGAGCAGGGGAGGGGCAGAGAGAGAGAGAGAGAGAGAGACAGAATCTGAAGCAGGCTCCAGGCACTGAGCTGTCAGTACAGAGCCCGACATGGAGTTCAAACTCATGAACCATGAGATCATGACCTGAGCTGAAGTCAGACGCTCAACCACCTAAGCCACCCAGGCGCCCCAGGACAGGGACTTTCTGATGAGGGGGTTTGAGGATGGCAGGCTGCCTGAGAGCTGGTGTTGCCAGTGAAGGAAGACAAGCCCAGATGGGGTGCAGATGGGAAGCTGGGATGGTCTTGGAGCAGCCCCATTCCTTGGGTTTCTTGGGAAAATGGAGCGCCTCCAGATGGGTCACCAAAGCAAATTCTAGTGCAGCCCCGTATTTCCTGCCTTTGAACCCTATCCTCCTGCCAGCCTACAGCACTCCCATGCCCTTTGCCTGGAGGGGATTCTAACTCCAATGTTAGTAGCAAGCATCATGCACCTTCTATCTACCAGCTTTAAGCTTGATGTCTTCACACACATTTAATCCAATCCTTTATGGTAGGATTTTTTAAGTTCTCTAAGTTTATATAATATTGATGTAATTATTTTTAAAACTCACGTGCTCATAGTTTAAAAAAATTCACATAGTACAGAATGGTCTAACGTGAGGAACATCAGTATTCTCCGAGCCCTGATCTCACTTTCCAGAGATAACTACTCTTAAAAGTCTCTTAAAGGAAACCCACATTCACAGCAGCATTATTCACAACCGCTGGAGCGGTAGAGGCAACTCTAGTGTTCCTCAACAGGCAAGGGGAGAAACAAAACGTGGCATATATGTACAAGGGAATATTACTGGGCCATAAAAAGGAATGAAATGCCAACACAGGATGCAGCATGGATGAATCTTGAAGACATCATGCTCAGTGAAATACGCCAGACACAAAAGGAAGTGTTGTATGAATTCCACTTTGTAGAAAGTCCCTGGGATAGGCAAATCCATAGAAACAGAGAGTAGAAGGGTGCTTACAAGGTGCAGGGAGGAGGGGTAGAGGGAAATGAGGAACTATTGCTTATGGAGTAGAGCGTTTGTTTGGTCTGATAAAAAAAAGTTCTGGAGATGGATAGTGGTGATGTTTGCACCACACTGTCAATGTAGTTAGTGTCATTAAATTGTACACATAAAATGATTAAAATGGTAAATTTTGTGTCATGTGTATTCTAGCCCAATTTAAAATAACAGGAACGGCAACCACAAAAGTTGGTCTGTTACACACTTTTCCATGAGGAAGTACAGGAAATCCTCCTCCCCAAAAATGGCCGCGTAAGCTGCCACCATTCCAAGTGACCTCAGTAGTCAGTGGGAAAAATTATAATTGTTCTCCGACCTTTAAAATTTTTTTGTTGCCAAAACACGAAAGGCTCTCTTACTGTCAGTTTTAAATACAGAGGAATTTTTTTTAAAACAGTAATTCTAAAAAAAATAGTAACACTAATACTTATATGGTGCATCCGTTATTTAAAACAGTAGGAATGTTGGGAGTAATGTGTTCTATTTCTTTGTAAAGAATTTACAAGAAGAGTTTGAACAGTGCTTGCCTTCTTCTCATGCAACTCACAACACAGAGCGGGCATCATTTATAAGTTTGGTAACTTTTCATACTCCTTTGGATCTTAACCTCCCTGTACCTCAGTTTCCTTACCCAGTAGAAGGAGGGGAATGGTACCTGGTTCTGAGTGGCTTTGTGAGAATTAAATATGTTAATATGGGAACTCAGGACAGTGCCTAGGGCACAGCAAGCAAGTCCTCTATATGGCTGTGGCCCTGAGTCCTCACCCGGTGCTGAATGCTGATCTCCCCATGCGGATGAATTCATTTAACCCTGGAAAGGGTCCTCAGTATTTCTGCTTGGCGTGGGAGGAAACTGAGACCGACCCACGTCTCTCACCCCTAAAGTGAGGAGGGAGACTTCAGTTCCAGCCCCCAGACCCATGCTTTTGCCACCACACTGTGTGCCACGAACATAAGTGGCCTACCGCGAGACGGATGCCCTAAAGTAAAGCAAACAAACCCTTGCTTCTTTGTGGCTTCACACCACACCCCGTGTTCACCCGGTAGTGCCTCAAAACCCCTTTGGTTGCCTCGATCCAATTGCTTCTCAGTATCAGCCGCCACCTTTTTATTTCAGAAATATCACACCCAAGTGTGCAGGCTGCATTGGAGCATGGGGACCAACACAGTATTTGGACTATGGGTGAAAACAGGAAGAATCAATGAGAAAGGGAAGGAAGGGACAGGTTCAAGAGATACTTAGACAATAGAACCTAGTGACAGGTGCACACGGAGCTTGAAGGAGAGGACAAATGCCACATTTCTGGACTGAGCCTGAATGACTTCTGTATCCTCAGTGAAGTAACAGGCGAGTCAGTGTGGAGACTTGGGTAGGAGACCTAGACTGGCGGCTTGCCCCCTGCAGAACTGTTACCTTGCTATACGAAGAAGGTAACCTGGATAACTTCTGTTTTAAATGTTTACTATTTCATCTCAAATCACTTTTGTTTAAAACCATTTTCTTTTACCCTATCAAAATAACAGCAGCATTCTTCACAGGGATAGAACAAACAATCCTAAAATTTGTATGGAACCCCAAAAGACCCTGAGTAGCCAAAGCAATCCAGAGAAAGAAAACCAATTCCAGACTTCAAGCTATATTACAAAGCTGTAATCATCAAGACAGTACGGTACTGGCCCAAGAACAGACACTCGGATTAATGGAACAGAATAGAGAACCCAGAAATGGACCCACAAACATATGGCCAACTAATCTTTGACAAAGCAGGAAAGAATATCCAATGGAATAAAGACAGTCTCTTCAGCAAGTGGTGCAGGGAAAACTGGACAGCGGCATGCAGAAGAAAGAACCTGGACCACTTTCTTAC